TTGTTTCTTCTTTACCCATGAGACTCCTTAATTGTGTAACTCAAATTAATTTGTAAGATACTTGGTGTATAGGAGCTCTATGAAGTTTGATGTATACACATAGGAGAGTCAAGAGGAAATTTATTGTTGTATAGTATTTTAGGATGTAATTTATAGAGAATGACATTGAAAACATGTTTGTAGCAGGTAGCCTGCACTCATTTTTATGTGACTAATTTCACTTTTTTATGAAAATTTATATGCAGATGTGACCTAATAGTGTTGAAAAAAATTATTAGACTAATATGTGCGGGCGATTTGCAGAAAAAAAACTATTTTCACCTCGCCTTGTGAATTTGTGCGGAGCGGACCTATTAAAATTTAATGAAATATATTTAGAGTAGGTACGACTTGCAATTATTTTAAAGGGAAAAATGACAAATATATTTCCGAATAGGGGTGACAATTTCAGCCCATATTAATGAAATGAGTCCATTTTGTCCATATTTAATGACTTGGATCACTCATATTTTAATTGGTTAAATATGGGCTTCAAGCTATTTTAAGAATCTCTACAAATATGGTCAAAATGGATTAAATATGGGTATCCATATTGACCCATAATAGATCAATTAGTTTTCACTTCCATTCAAAATTCTTAATTGTGCTAAAAAATAAAAAAATTAATATTAATTTTCAAAAATCTTATATATATATAAAAGAGAACACTAGGCCCGCCTGCGTGGCGCAACCACAAACCAGAATTCCTTTTTAATTTATTTATTTTGAGTACTAGCCTTTCCTTTTCATAAAAAGTTGGGACTTTTATGAAAAGTTGTAAATTTTATGAAAAGTTGTGACTTTTAGGAAGAGTTGCGACTTTTATATCAAAGGTTGTAACTTTTATGAAGAGTTGTGACTTTTATGAAGAGTTGCGACTTTTATGAAAAATTGTGATTTTTATGAAACGTTGTGACCTTTCCGAAGGGTTGTAACATTTCCAAAGACTTGTGACATTTCCGATAAGGCACAATAAGCATTTGTTCACACTACCCATTGTTGTCTATAAATAGAGGGATTTCCTGCCACAATTATTTGTAGGTGTTTTTCCGTTGTAGGGTAGTCGAATTCAAATACATTAATTAAACTTCTTATAAAGTTTGTTTCATTCCTCAAAGTTTTCTTCCTCGTATTTCATGGAGTTTTAGTGATTCATGTAATTATGATTAAATTTTTTTTGTTATTTTGGTGACTTTTTTTTAACTATGTCAAAAATTTCAGCAAAGATGATTGAAAATTGATTTTCTCTTTTGTCCCTTTCTACAGGTTTCTTCATATAAACAAAGAATACTGATTTTGATTGCAATGCAACATTACTATTCTTGCACCTCTCATTCCACAACTCATAACGTTGTTGAAATGGTTGAATTCATTACATTTGGTTCTTTAGTAACCAAAACTTTTATTTATGTCACTATTATTTATAGGATTTTTTTGCTATAGGGGAGTCGAATTCAAATACATTAATTAAACGTCTTATGAAGTGTGTTTCATTCCTCAAAATTTTCTTCCTCATATTTCATGAAGCTTAATCTTTTACTGTAAGTCACAGTGATTCATGTATCTATTGCAATTTCTATTTGCTATTTTGGTGACTTTTTCTGCACTCTGTTAAAAATTTCAGTGACGATGATTGAAAATTTATCTTCTTTTTTGTCCATTTCTGTAGTTTATTTCATATACTTTTTGAAAAAAATTATTGTGGGTTGTGCTATATTTGATAGCACACAACAATAAATATGTGATAACTAATACAAAACTGATGGTAAAGTTTGTGAAAAAAAAACCAAACAAATTGCTCTCTTGCTTACCACAGTTAATATATTATTTTTATTGTTTTTTCTTAGATACAAATAATTTTTATGTTATTGCACTCTTGATAAAATATTAGTATAAGCACAATTAGTCCACTTCTTTTGTCGCGAGTTGAGTAATTTGTCATATTTCTTCGTCTCTTCATTTTGGGCATAATAAGAGATCAAGTTTTCTTGAATTAAACAAATGTCCAGAATACACTATAACAAAAATAATTTTTATCGCCAATAAATATGCACATTAACGAAGAGTGCTAGAGCCTTTACCGACATTTATTAGTTGTTATTAGATTCAATGTTGCTATAAATTTTAGGGACATTTATAGAGAGTACAAATTGCCTCTGAAAATACATATTTAGCAACAATTAAGCTATTAATTGTCGTTAAAGATCATTTTTACTGTAGTGAAAATTCTTTATTTTGATAAACTTTTATTTTTTATTTTTTATAAAGAAGTAAGAACTCTTTGTTTTGGATTATTTCAATTAAATTTGTGAACTGTAAATTTGGATACAGCCCGATATACTATCTTTTTGAAAAATATGTTAAGCAATTTGCCTTTTTCTTCTTTATTGCTAGGAAAGTAAGGTTGTCTTTATTATTATTTGTGGATATTTGTGAGTTCAAGTGCTTACAAAATTATGCTGTGAGATTTTAATATGTTATGTGTCAAAATTTTGGTTTAGAATATTCAGTTGTGAACAGTTCCATTGGAATCAAATAAGTTGGGGCCGGTTATATGAAACCTAAGCAATAGTAATGACTACTCTGAGACAATGAGGAAAAACATTTAAGATACTCACAATTTTAAGGTCATTTTTAACATATACATGATACGTCATACTATTATAAAAACATATTGATGGAGGTTCATAAGAAAAATCCGGAAGGTCTTTCATTTGAGTTTAGTTAATTATGGTCTTGTATGGATGTGGTGTTCCACTTTACTTGGGAGTGTTGTTGTTCGAGGCTTTTTGGTCTCTTCCTTAATGTCTGATGTTGTTCTTTATAACTTTTTTAAATTTAGCAAATTTCATTACTTCTGACCAACTATTTCTATAGAGATTTTCTTAGACTTCTTATTTATAGTTAAAATCTCTCTACGACTCCTAATTTTTCTATAACAAAAACAAAATTTAAAAATATAGCATTTAAGATTTCGGAGGAACACTTTGCCTTAATATAAAATGTTCTTGACAATGTAGTGTATGTATCGAAAATATGAATATTATCGAAAGATCATATTTAAGCTTAATAAAATAGTTCAATCCCGTGCGAAGTACGGGTAATTTACCTAGTTCAATTAATTTTCAAACATAATTGAAAAACAATTTTTTTTTATTTTTGAAAAACAAAAAAAAATTTAGGGGTAGGTTGGTGGAAGGGGAGGTGCCCGGGGGAGGGGGTAATTTTTTTTTGTTTTGAAAAAACAATTTTTTTTTTTGTTTTGGAAAACAAAAGAAATTTAGGGGTCGGTTGGTGGAAGGTGGGGGGTACCCAAGGGGAGGGGGTAGTTTATTTTTTTTTTGAAAAAACAGTTTTTTTTTTTTGTTTTCAGAAAACAAAAAAAAATTAGTGGGTGGGGGGGGGGGGGGAGGGCCTCGGGGGGTGGGGGGTGCCCGGGGGAAGGGGTAATTTTTTATTTTTGAAAAACATATTTTTTTAAATGGGTTAGAACCATTTTACCCAAATCATATTTGACCAAATCCATATTTACCCATATTCTATTTGGGTGGATTGTAATCCAAACCATTTTTGCTCAATCCATATTCAATCCATCCAAATCCGATCCAATCCAACCATTTGCCACCCCTACCCCGAACTATCGTAAATGATATGCAAATACCCTCAATCATACTTTTGGGACATTGGTGCCTTTGACCTCCAAAAAGTGGAGCATATATACCCTTTATACTAACAGACATACACGTGTCATAATCTTATCCATCGATCCAACATTTATTAAATATCGGATCGACGGATAAGATTGTGTCACGTGTCCCTATTTAGTCTTTCGTTAGAGTGAATGACATATATGCTCTAGTTTTTGGACGGTAAAGGCACCAATGCCCCAAAAGTATGACGGAGGGTATCTGCATACTATTTACGATATTTCGTAGGTATATTTATCCTTTTTCCCTATTTTAAATATTTATATAATTAGTCATACCTTGTAATTTTTTCAATTTAGTATTACTATTAAAAACAACTATTATATCATACTTATGATATGGAAATATAAATTTATGTCCAGAGACAATTGTTTGTTTTGATATTTTTTTTACCATTTATTTACCTTTTCTTATAAGGATAATACATAAACACCCTTTTAACTTAATTTGAGCTGACATTTATGTTTTCTAACTTTGAATCAAGTAGACACTCAAACTTGTATAAAGTTAAACATATAAACACATGCGTCTTACATGATAATCCAAAATTGATCATGACGAAAGTCACCTACTCCCTCTGTCCTATATTAGTTGATCACTTTTTGGTTTGCACGATGCTTAAAAAAATCATAAATAAGAAGATAATTTACTAATCCACCCCTAAAAAACCTTTTTGAAATTTTACAAATAAATGTGAACACTTTAAAAAAGAATTAACTACAAAGTTAATATAGGAAAAAATAATAATTAATGCTTTCTTGATTTAGTAAAGTGAATAGCTAATATGAGACAACTATTTTTAATATAAGGGAAAAATGACAAATATACCCCTGAACTATCGTAAATGGTATGCAGATGTCATCCGTCATATGTTTGGGACATTGGTGCTCCTGCCGTCACTCTAACAGAAGACTAAATAGGGACACGTGGTGCAATTTTATACGTCGATCCGATATTTAATAAATGTCGGATCGGTGGATAAGATTATGACACGTGTATGTTCGTTAATATAAACGGTGTATATGCCTAGTTTGTGGACGACAGAGGCACCAATGTTCCAAAAGTATGACGGATGGTATCTACATATCATTTACGATAGTTCGGAGATATATTTGTCCTTTTCCCCTTAATATAATGATCAACTAATACGGAAATACCGGACAATTTTCTCGGACACGTGTACAGATTCTTTCTTTGTAATTTCGTTTCTTCCTAAAAGACAAATGTTTGTATTTCTGTGCACTTTTCACTTCAATTTGGAGACACTCTACCTTTCTTTCTTTCTTCATCTTCTAAGTTTAACTTGCAGAGAGCGTTAATGGCTATTCCACTTATCACCATTTTCTTCATTTCTCAATAATCTCACTTTTAAGTTCTTTCCCAATTACTATTAACACAAATATTCAAGAAAAATCTCAACTTTTTTGTTGAATACTTGTAATAAGCAGAAATGGATTTTGTGTACAAGAACCCATCAGCTCTTATTGAGGAAAGAGTAAAAGATTTGTTATCTCGGATGACACTTGAAGAAAAAATAGGCCAAATGACTCAGATCGAACGCAGTGTTGCCACTCCCTCTGTCATTACTGACCTTTCTATAGGTATGCCTTTTTTTCCCTCTTTGCCCTAAAAAATAAAAATAGAATGGCACTGATGGATTTTGAGGTGGAGTCGGGATTTGAAGGTTATGAGTTCGGGAAATTTAGTTCATTTAAGTTTATGAGTTGTAGGTTAGAAGGTAGTTGAGAAGTGCCTTGCTTTTAAGGGTTTAGGCTTGTTGGTGTCTGTCGTTGTACTAGCCGTATTAGTAGTTCTAGTTTTTGATATCTATCATCATTAGTTAATTGTGTTTGTGCTACTGCACTATTTTGTTCTTATTAGTGTTATGTTTACTTCTTCTTCATATCTGAATTGTATATCTGAAATTGGTGCGCTTGAGCTGAGGGTCTTTCAGAAACAACCTCTCTATCTTCACGAGGTAGTGATAAAGCATGCTTACACTCTACTCTACCTAGACCCCATGAGTGGTATTTCACTTGGTATGTTGTTGTTGTTAAGGTATTGAGTTCTAAATTAGTCATTTATACATATTCAACAGGCAAAAACGAAATTTGGATAAAAGCTATTGAGTTTGGCCCGAAGTGCTAAGTCCACTCCAGTTAAGGTGATAGATTAAATGAGTTGTTGGTGTAGATATAAGTGTGATATTTAAAGCACTTTATTTAGTATTGGAATGAAATCAACCTGGATAGAGAAGAATCGAGATAAATAATGGGTTTAAGTTATATACACTGACGAGGTAAAGGATTTTTACACAATCAGAGTAATTTAACCTGTTACATTGGGTTGCTTACCATTTGTCATAGGTTACCGATGAATGATTATTAAGTAGAGTTACATGCAATGACCTGATTGTGCAAATATCTTTTTACATGCCCGTGTATAGAATGAGTCCTCATAAATTGATTCATTTAGACATTACTAACTGTCTTATAAGCATTTATCTCTGTTTGCAAACTGTTTGGAAGGCTTTATTTAAGCGTTTATCGGAAACAACCTCTCTATCTCTAGAGGTAGGGTAAGGTCTGAGCACACTCTACCCTCCCCAGATCCCACTTGGTGGGATTACATTTGGTATGTTGTTGTTGTAACTGCCTTATAAAAGTAAGGTGGTTCTAACTAGTTGGGTAAGTATGAGATTTAGTTAACCTCTTATTTAGCATTGGAATGAAGTGGACTTGAATAGAGTGGACGGGTATATAGGATTCATTTAGGTGATCCTAGTTAGTTGGGTTAGGCTAGTTATTCATGTAGAGGGACAAGTGTGAGATTCAGAGAATCTTTTATTTTGAATTGAAATGAAATGAACTGAATAAAGTGGAATGCATATAAATGACTCTTTTAGGTGATACTAACTGGTTGGTATTAAACTAGCTATGCATTTAGGATAAGATTGGGACTTTGAGAACACTTATAAGACGAATTGGACCTAAATGGAGAGGAACAGGTATAGAGGATTCTATTCCCGGGCCTAAGATGTTCTGGAATTGTGACAAATTTCTTGGCTGAAATTTATTTGAACCTGTTTTCGTGGCGCAGGGAGTATACTCAGTGTTGGAGGCAGTGCACCATTTGAGGATGCCCCATCGGAAGCTTGGGCATATATGGTTGACGGATTTCAAAAGGCTGCGCTGGAATCACGGCTTGGGATTCCGCTTCTTTATGGAGTTGACGCTATTCATGGCAATAACAATGTTTATGGTGCTACCATTTTTCCACAAAATGTGGGCCTTGGAGCCACCAGGTTGAATTAATGTCAAGCTTTGATCTTTATTACCAATTTCTTATTGATAGCTGACATTTAAGATCACGACCTAAATTAGATAAATGTCGAGCAGAGATGCAGATTTGGTTCAGAAGATTGGGATTGTGACTGCTCTTGAAGTCAGGGCTTGTGGCATTAACTATACTTTTGCTCCCTGTGTTGCTGTAAGTTGAACGTGTTACTTGTCTCTTTATTGTCTTTGTATTAGGTCAATTTCATGGATGAATAAAGTAAAGGAAACATGAGACGTTGGACATATATACACTTAGAGCAAGATAGAAAAAGGATTCTCCTAAGTATCACATCAAAGTTTATAATTTGAATTCTTAATTAGTCCTTCCGTTACAAATTATTTGTCAGGTTTTAACTTGGCATTGAGTTTAAGAAAGTTGAGAAGACTTTTGAATCTTGTGGTCTTGAGCTAAAGATATATAGAATGTACCAAAATGTCCTTTAATCTTGTGTTCTTAAACATGCCATGTGGAAAGTGAAAATGAAAGAGTTGCCAAAAAAGAAAAGATACTTTCTTTTTGAAACGGACTAAAAAGAAAAGTAGGACAAACAAATTGAGACAAAGGGAGTAGTATGTTGCTAACTGAGACAAGAAAAACATGATTTGTCGTTTTTCTTTTTGGAAATTCTTGGTTAAGATTGTTATGTTCCCAGTCCCTCATAACTGCTATCTCTCTAGAAGTAGTACTTGTTTTTTGTTTGTTTGTTTGAGAAGGTAAGCAGCTTGTATATTGATAAAGAGAAACTACGTAGTACCAAGCTGGTGCTAAGCAATATCTCTCTAGTTGTTATCTCTTTATAACTCTATTGTCTTGAGGCATCTTGACTTCATTTAAATAATGTGAAACAGGTATGTAGAGATCCCAGGTGGGGAAGATGCTATGAGAGTTATGGAGAAGACACCGAACTTATTAGGAAGATGACCTCAATTGTCACAGGCTTGCAAGGGCAACCACCTCCTGGATACCCCCAAAACTATCCTTTTCTAGCTGGAAGGTAGTAGAAGTTGCCATAAAACAAATTCCAAAATTTTGTACGCTTCTCTGAATATATAAAAAATGTATTTCTCTTGTATTTTACAACCTATACTCTTGAAGTCTTATGTGCATTCAAATGCTATTCCACATGTTGCAATTTTCAGAAGAAAAGTCATTAGGGAAGGAAAAGTAGAAGCATAGCTAGAGTTGAAAATAAAAAATCAGTGTTGAAAAGCATGTCTTAGCTATTACTACCTTATTGTTGATCATTCGTCAGATATTTCTATAGCTTTCTACTTTTGTATTATTTGTTCTCCTAATGGCAAGGATCTCTTTGGACTGATTGATGAATTTTACTCCAGAGACAAGGTTGTTGCCTGTGCAAAGCACTTTGTTGGAGATGGGGGTACTGACCGAGGTATAAATGAGGGAAATACCATATCATCGTATGATGATCTAGAGAGAATACATATTGCCCCTTATATTGACTGTATTTCTCAGGGAGTTTGCACAGTAATGGCATCCTACTCTAAATGGAATGGAAGCCACCTGCATTCTAGCCACTTCCTTCTTACTGAAGTTTTGAAAGGGAAGCTCGGATTTAAGGTAAGGATTGCCTGTTCTCTTAATGCTCTATGGTTCATTTGGAGTCCAAATTTTGGACCATTAGTTAAACATAAAAATCCTCTAGATTGTCAGATGCTTTTCTCATTTCCTACCATGCATAGTAGGGGAAGTGATTGAACATATTGCGGTTCCAAAAAGCTGAGTTTCAGGGCCCATTTTTACTCGGTATTGTTCTTTAAAAACAATGTAGAAAACTAATCAAATTTTGGTTTGAAGCCCAAACAGGTTTTGGACTTCGTATTCAGCAAACACAAAAGATTCTCTTAGCAAAGAGCTGGAAAAGTTCATATGGCTTGGAGTTGGTTCTACTTGGTTAAAACGTCACCAAGCCGAAAGTGTAAAAACTTGTTTCAATGTTTTTGCTTCAACTTATGAAGGAGTAGGTAAGGGGATGAGAGTGGTAATTACTCCTTCATCGTTAACCAAGAGGTCTCGGGTTCGAGTCCCCTTGGGTACGGAGTCGCCTTTGTTAGGGAGCACTTTACCCCAATGTGGGACTTCCCGGCGCGAATCCGGATTTAGTTGGGTACCGGACACTGGGTGGGAAACCAAAAAAAGAAAAGAAATGGTAAGGTAAGGGGATGAGAGAAACGATGTCTCTCTTTAATTTGAATCTGGTTGCATGGAATTTGGTTATTGGTTATTTATATTTTTCCTCGATTTGAATGAAATGCTATGCACTAATGTTCTATTTGTTTGTCAAGTTGTTAGAATATGATTGGCTTAAAGATCACATACACTGCAAGAATCTGAATGCTAACTCTTGTAGGGCTTTGTTATTTCTGATTCCGAAGGACTTGACCGATTTTTCCATCCTCATGGATCTAACTATGACCAAAGTATTTTGGCAGCAGTCAATGCAGGGATTGACATGGTACATAAAACCATGTTTTAAGAGTTATTCTGTTTTTGCATGAGTTATTTCTGTTCTTACTGTCTGTTAAACTTTTTGCAGGTGATGGTTCCTTTTCGGTATCAATTATTTCTCGATCATTTGAAATATCTTGTGGAATCTGGGGAGATTCCAATGACCAGAATTGATGATGCTGTTGAAAGGATCCTGAGAGTTAAGTTTGTTTCCGGAGCTTTTGAGAACCCTTTGAGTGATAGGTCATTGTTGGATACTGTTGGTTGTAATGTAAGTCCATCTTGTCCTTTATTTTGACAGATAGTGTCAAAATATTTATCTTGAATTTCGGCATTAAATAAGACCTTCATAAGTTTTATTTGTTTGACCTACTATCTCAACTATTCTGCTTTTTGTCTCGACATCAAAGTGAACATCTTCTTTGCATCTATGTTGCACAGACTTTTCAAAATGATTGCCGCACCCCTGTTGACGTGACATTGGTGTGGGTGTGGGATCCACACGGGATTTGGTCAACTCATATTGGATGCTTTGACTACATCTATGCCCGAGAAGGATAGATTGATTGGCTATTTCATGAGATCTTTTATGATTAACACATTAAGTGTTTATAAAGAATTAAATTTTATTAGCTTTAATTCATTACCTTTAATTAATCGAAATATATACTTTATATAGTGTAAAAATATGCGTTTATTGGCCGTATCCCACTTCCCGTATCCGCTCTCGGATTCATACCCCCAAATCCTAAAAGTTCTGTGACAAAGAGTCTGACCTCTAGACGCACACCCGTATGGGGTACCCACACCCGAGTCTGAGCAACATAGCTTTGCATTGCCCTTACAAAAGTTAAATTATGTGAGTTGGCAAACTGTTTTACCTGTTTTTACAATGTATATACTGCTAGTTCTGTTTGTTTGGTAAAATTATACATTTTAAAGAATGTAGGAGAGAGAGAGTAGTTATGTGCATGTATCGGTGCAGAGCTTCATAGTAGTTTTTACCATTCTGATAATTGTTTCAGCAACATCACGAATTAGCACGTGAAGCAGTTCGCAAATCACTGGTTCTTCTAAAGAATGGAAAGGATGTAACAAAACCATTTCTTCCGCTAGATAGGAAGGCAAAGAGAATTCTTGTAGCAGGAAAACATGCTGACGATCTTGGATTTCAATGCGGAGGGTGGACTAAAACATGGGAAGGAATGGGCGGAAGAATCACAATTGGTAAGTAATGCTTCCTCTGCTCTAGTTTATATGACACTCTTTCATATTTACTACATTAAAAAAACAATGTCACCTTTCTATATTGTGAAAACTCGTTAACTTTTAAGTTCCCCATCTTACTCTTAGTGACATACTCCTATAGATACAGAAATATTTGACATGTTTTAGTTCACGAGTTTTATGGGTACTTTTGGTATGCATAGAAAGTCTTTTGTTTTTTCTTAAACTTTGTGCCCAGCCAAGCACCACCATATTAAATGAAACAAAGAGAGTAATGGAAAGATGGCATCAGTTGTTACTTACTTCTTGGGGTATTTGGTAGTCTTTCATACAACCAGAGCATTCTAGTTTAGAGTAGCATTTTTCTTTCCTTCTTTCTTACATGGTTTCAAAATTTACCACAAGTTAAGGTTAGGAACAATATCTCAAGAGTTTCGCTTCCATTTCTTGTGGGTGATTTGTAAAACCCTGTATGTTTGATTGTTTTCTCGCAAGAAATCTTAAGCTACAATGTCATAAAATGCTTGATATCGCCAGCTGATAGCATAATTTTGTATGACATATAGATATATGTAAGCTAGTGAGTACTCTTGTTAGCCTTGCGCAAAGATCTTGATGTACTAGGAACCTCAATAGACCCAATGTAGTCCGGTCCTTCTGTGGACCATGCTCAAAACAGAAGCTTAGTGCACTTGGCTGCCCTTAGGAACCTCAATAAAGACGAGGATTGGGATTAGACGTGCATTGGGTCCTTTTGACAATGAGCTCAGTTTTCTCAACAGGCCGATGATAGTATAATGCATGCATGTCTTACTGAAATCCTCCGGTAAGATAATTTAGAAGGTTAAGTAGCCCATCTCTGAACTATAGTTTACCACTATTAATCATGGATCATTTACTAGTTAAAACGATAATTTGTTGTAGGTACAACTATTCTGGAAGCTATTAAAGATGCTGTTGGAGGGGAAACAGAACTGGTATATGAGGAAAATCCGTCAGCAGACACCTTTGCGAGTCAAGACTTCTCTTATTCAATTGTAGTTGTTGGTGAACCTCCCTATTGTGAAAGCGGTGGAGACAGCCAAGACCTCAGAATTCCTCTTGGCGGAGAAGAACTAATAAGCTTGGTTGCAGACAGAGTTCCAACGTTGGTGATATTGATCTCCGGAAGGCCTTTATATATAGAGCCTTCGATTCTGGAGAAAATGGACGCCTTCGTTGCTGCTTGGTTGCCGGGCACTGAAGGAACTGGTATCACTGATGTCATTTTCGGAGATTTTGAATTCCATGGAAGGCTCCCTATGACATGGTTTAAAAGTGTAGATCAATTACCCCTGCATCAGGAACAGAACTCCTATGAACCTCTCTTTCCATTCGGCTACGGATTAACTAGTAAAAACAAGGTGCTCTAGATGAGATGTGTCGAAGAGAGGTTTAGTGAAATAGACATGTCTATGAAGATGCGGACTATCAGAAAGACTCTATAAAGCTTCACTGTTCCCTGGGATTGGCTTTATGCAACCTCTTGTGTACTTGTACCATTTGGTCTCTGGCATATGATGTTACAGTAAGTCCAAATAATTATTATGTACTATTATTACCATATGTTAACCTGAGTTATTGAATAATGTTAATTATGTCATTCAAGGAGAAGGTGTCTTTAACAAAATGAAAATGGGTACTTCACACTAACTGGTCGAATTAACTAAGTATTTACTTTTCTACTCGGTTACATGAATTATATATTGAGTGTACATGATTTAGTAATTTTAATTAGAGTGTACATAGGTTGGATTGATTTCGATTTTTCATTTATCAAACTAAATCAATAAAAAATAGTTTTTCGTTTTCAGTATTTTTTTTCCAATTTTTAAAAATTGTTCGATATGATGTTTCTTCCAATAAAATTTGTTTGATTGTAATCAATTTCACAAAGCATTATTGATCACAATGTATCAAAGTAATGAAGAAGAAGACAGAGAGAGTAATTTGTGGAAGCTTCTCAATTGATTCAATTCAATATACATGTACAAGTATTTGTTTATATAGACCTACTAATTGATGAGTTAAGTTGTCAGCTAAGATTCTAACTAACTAACTTGAAATATAACAAACTAGCATCAACTAACTAACTATTTAACCAACTATTAATTAACTGAATAAAGGAAAATATCTTCACAGTGTTGTTGTGCATTTTGTCAATTCCTCAACATCCCCCCTCAAACTAGGAGCCATGAAGATGTTATTCATGCCTAGCTTGGATACCAAATAAGTATGTTGAGGAACACCAAGACCTTTAGTGAAAATGTCAGCTTGTTGTTCACTGGTGGAAATATGGATCAATTTCACTAGGCCAAGCTGCACTTTTTCTCAGATGAAATGACAATCAATGTCAATGTGCTTTATACGCTCATGGAAAACAGGATTAGTAGCAATTTGTATAGCTGATTTACTGTCACAAAACATAGACACAGGGCCAGGAAATTGACTCCAAGTTCCTTGAGCAAACCAGTGAGCCAGACCACTTCAGCTATAGTAGAAGCTAGGCTTCTATATTCAGCCTCAGCCGAGCTTCGAGAAATGGTTGATTGTTTCTTTGATTTCCAGGAGATAGGAGAATCACCAAGATTGAGTAAGAAACCAGTAACTAACTTTCTTGTAGTGATACAAGATGCCCAATCAACATCACAATAGGCAGTGAGACAAGGAAAAGCATGGGCTGACATAAACACACCCAGACTTGGAGACTGTTTGATGTATTTCATAACCCTTGTTGCAATAACCATGTGAGAGACTTTAGGAGAATGCATATACTGATTGAGACATTGTACTGCAAAGGCAATGTCTGGTCGAGTGATAGTCAAGTAGAGAAGTCTACCTATTAATCTTTGATATTCACCTGGATTACTTAACAAATGATATGTATCATCATGCAAATGTTGATCAAACTCAAAAGAAGTGAGCTTCTTATTTACTTCCAATGGTGTTTGAAATGGTTTGGCACCAGTGAAGCCTAAGTCACTGATAAGTTCAACAACATATTTCCGTTGATGCATTAAAATTCCATCTTTGTTTCTGGCAAATTCAATGCCAAGAAAATATTTCAAGTCTCCCAGATCCTTGATCTTGAAACTGAGCTGTAAATGGTCTTTAGTTGTATTAAATCTCCATCACTTCCAGTGATCAACAAATCATCAACATAGACTAAAACAATGACAATGTGAGGGCCAAACTTCTTAGTAAATAGAGAATAGTCCAACTGACTCTGAATGAACCCTGAACTGGTCAAGGCAGTGGTTAACTTGATATTCCATTATCAAGATGCTTGTTTAAGGCCATATAGTGACTTTGACAATTTGCAAACTTGATGCCCTTTGTCACCAGCAAAACCTAAAGGCAGGTCCATGTATACCTTTTCATGTAGGTCCCCTTTAAGAATGCATTATAGACATCCATTTGATGAATGTCCCACCTTTGCATAACAACAGTAACAATCATTGTCCTCACAGTCACCATTTTCACCACTGGTGAAAAAGTTTCTTGATAGTCAAGCCTTTCCTTTTGATTGTAACCTTTGGCAACTAATCTGGCTTTAAACCTTTCCACTTCTCCTGTAGATTTATATTTGATCTTATAGACCAATTTACAACCAATAGCCTTTTTGCCTGGTGGAAGATCAACAACAATCCAAGTGGAATTTTCCTCTAAAGCTTTTATCTTAGACTGCATTGCCTCTACCCATCTAGGATCCTTTGCATCCTCCTTGAAAGATGTAGGTTCACTATCAGAAGACATTTGAGCAAGATAAGCCTGATACTTAGAACTCAATTTTGTGTATCCCAACACAGCAGAAAGAGTATAAATACAAGCATGAGCCCCTGATGGCTTACTCACATAGTCTTGCATCCATGTGGGAGGTTTAGATTGTCTTGTGGACTTCCTTAGAGGTGTTGAATGAGGGGCAAGAAGAGGCTCATCAACATCACCTCCATGTAGGGAATAGGGAAAGGTCAGACTCATGACTTTCATGACTTTCAGTAGCTATAGCACTATCAACACCACTGTCAGCAATATCTATTTCAATATGCTGGTCATCAGGAGGTAGGTCATGTGCTCCTATTGGAGTAATACAAATAGGAAGAAGCTGAGAATAGTCATCGGAAGGCTTTGCAACAGAACCAAACACAGGTGGGACTGAAGATGGTTGAGAAAAGGGAAAAATGTCCTCATAGAATATCACATCCCTACTGATGAAAATGGACTTAGTAACCAAATTATACAGCCTATATTCTTTTGATGAGCAACATAGCCTAGCATAATTGACTTGATAGCTCTAGGGGCAAACTTATCTTGTCTAGGTAGAGCAGAGGCATAACAAAGACATCCAATCACCCTCATGGGAGCTAGAGAAAGATCATGACCATGTAGAAGTTCAAAATGTGATCTATTCTGTAGCATTGAGGAGGGTATTTTATTAATGACATAAACAACTGCTTCAATACAGTGACCCCAAAAATTCAATGGTAAACATGACTGAAATCTGATTGCTCTAGCAGTTTCTAGTATATGCTTATGCTTCCTTACCACCACTCCATTCTGTTGAAGAGTATAAGGGCATGAGCTTTGATGAATAATAACATTTTGTTGAAATAGACTGGAACAAGATTGGTTAAAGAACTCTGAACCATTGTCTGATCTAAAGGACTTAATGTTTTTCCCAAATTGAGTGGCAATCATATTGATAAAAGTTTTAAGAATGGTAGAAACATCAGACTTCAATCGAAGCAAAAAAATCCAAGTCCATCTAGTGTGATCATCAACCAAAGTGAGAAAGTATTTCATACCATTGTGAGTTTCAACATGATAATATACCCATATATCCAAATGAATCAAATGAAAAGCATCTGCAGTACTACTACGACTAACAAAAAAAGGCAACCTTGTTTGTCTAGATAACGGGCAAATATCACAATGCTGTAATTGAAAAGAAGTGAGATTATGAAAAACATGAATTCTTCTTAAAACTGCCATGGGAGCATGTCCTAGACTTATATGCCATAGATCAAGAAGTGGTCTAGATACAGTCATGGACTTCCCTTCCGTCATAGAATGGTCATTGTTTGGTGTGTTCAGTATGTAAAGTCCATATTGCTCCCTACCAGTCACCTTTACTCTCCCAATGCAAAGATCCTAAAACACACAGTGTTCAGGGTAGAACTTAACACAGCAGTTCATATCTTTTGTCACTTTTGAAACTGACATCGGGTTGAACTTAAAAGTAGGCATACAGAGAACATCTTTAAGAGAATCACCTCCTGATAGTGAATAATTTCCAGTGTGATTGATTTTAGCAGATTCTCCAGTAGGTAACTGTACACTCCATGCATTACCTACTATACCATCATGCACTAATATATGTTTATTCCTAGTTATATGATTAGATGCTCCAGAGTCTACTATCTAACTAGTGTGTAAGTTTGTGAAACACTTATCTGCCATGTTGGCACTAGCCTTAGACATTGGAGCCTTGTCCCTCATTTTCTTCCATAGAGCATATTCCTTGTATTTATCTTCAGAGATAGTCATCTGCCCTTCCTGCTGAACATCAACAAGGTTAGCTTGTGAACATTTTTTCCTTTAAGTTTGTAATCAGCAGGATATCTTATCAGCTGGTAGTATTTCCCAATTAAGTGCCCTGTCTTTCCATAGTGATCACACTTCATTAATTTGAAATAGTCTTCCCTCAAATGTCCTTTCATGTGACAAAAATCGCAAACAGAGTTCCAATTCTTCTTCTTAGATCCTGAGTTTTTTTAAGTGAAAAAAATAGCTTATCCATCTTCATGTGAAGTGGATGTATTGATAGCAGCTAGATTTTGACTTTCATCCTGGAAAATTAAGGCATATGCCTGGTTAACACTCAACATTTTCGACTCAATTTTTTCCTTTCTCTTTCATTCTATTGTTATAGATCCTGATTTTATTTTTAAAATCATTAATTTATGCTTATGATATTAATGGTTGTTTTAGTACATGTTTTAAACTTTGTTGTTTATGTTTCTGCAAATTTATTGTTATAAGTATTAGTTATTACATATAAATATTATTTATTTTAGAAAATACAATATCTCATGTGAATGTTCATCTAATTTTCCAAAAATATCAAATAGTAACACTTCTTGGAGGCAAAAGGATAAATTACAAAATCAAATAAAGATGATTGATTGAAGGATAAATGATGAGATGTTATAATTATTATTTTCCTTTACATTATTAATGTACGTTACTATGTATGTAAGATAATATAGTGTTTTAGTTTTAATGACTGATAGATTATAAGTATTATTTTATAAATTCTGTGATATTAAATTTCCGTGCAAAGCGCGGATAATTTTACTAATATATATATATATATATATATAAAAGAGAATGCAAGGCCCGCCTACGTGGCGCCATCACAAACCAGGATTTCCTTTTAATTTATTAATTTTCAAAATTAGCCTTCCCTTTCATGAAAAGTTGTGACTTTTATGAAAAGTTGCGACTTTTATGAAAAGTTGCGACTCTTACGAAGAGTTGCGACTTCTATGAAGAGTTGCGAC